CTAATTTATCAATAGTTGTCCAATAATTTGTTAATTTCGTATAGACTTGATCGAAGTCTTCGTATACAGATAAGTTAGCATTTGTAGAAAGAAATCTAAATATAATCTTACGCAATTCTTGAATTTGAACTGGAAATGATTTATTTCTCCATTTTTGTACTTCACCACCAAACACTGGATTAATATCATTTGAGAAAGCATTCGACAATGGTATAACATCATCATTTGATATATTAAGTTCATCTTCACTTGAGATTTGTAAAAATTGTGAATCATTATTTAAATTTTGTTTTAATTGTGCTAATTGTGCAAAAAATATCTTCTTATTAGATAAATCAATTTGATCACGAAGAATAAATAATAATTTTGGTTTTAATGGTGCATCTTTAAGCTGTAATTTTGCATAGAAACTCATACCAATTAAATTTTGTAATTCTGTACTCAATTCACCTTTATGATTAATTAATACAATATGAGAAGATAATATAGCCATTGGGTGTGGGTGTGGGTATGGGGTGTGGGGTGTGGGTGTGGGGTGTGGGGTGTGGGTGGGGGTGGGGGTGTTGATAGTAGTTCTGCCATTCACTGACACCCACATCCACACCCACACCTACACCCACACCCATCTAAGTCGATGAAGTATTTGACTTTTATTCAAGGACGGAATAGCAGGAAAGAAAAAGCAAACAAATCACTGTGTGTGAATTACTTTTTTTATTGCTCAAGGTCAAGTGAAGGTCGTTAAGATAAACTAAATAAGTGGCAAACACAAAAAATACTGTTATCATGGTTGACACAGATATATATTTTTCACTGGTGACAAAAACTTGGTCTACATATATTGTAAGACGTAGTAAAAAAGAAAATCAAAAAAGTACGTTGAGGTTTGTTCGAAACTCATCATCCCAATAAAAAAAATATAGACAGAAATTCATTGTATGTGTAAGTCGTAGTTTCATTTGCTTTTGTTTATGTTGAATTAAATTAACGAGAGAATGGATCAGAGCAATAGAAGAAAAAAACAAGAATGGCCCTATATAAGAAGGATGAAAAAGCTGTTTTCAAATCAAATTCCAATCAACACCTTAGAAAGGCTTCAATGAAAGGAGTGATGCATCCAGTTAAAGTTAGTTTTGTTCGACGAAAATCGGTATCTTTGCGCGCAAATGAGTTTCAATTAACGTCCGATACTGAACAACATTCAAGCCATCAGTCAATTAAAAACAAGGTTCGTCATTTTTTTGAGAGTGCATAACAGATGGAATTCATGGATAAAGAGGAGTTATAGAAAAAATTTATCCGTTAAAATTCCTAAATTTCGAGTAAACTGTTTACGTCAAGACTTGATAATCTTTGTGATCATCTAAAAATACTTCGGATACTATTAAATTATTGCTTTTCAATACAAAAGAAATAATGTTCTGATTTTCTCAATATTTATAACATACGATGCAAAAGTAATAGTACAAAATGTTGACCCCCTATTTTACTTCGATAGAAAGGTGCTAAAAGAAATTTTTTTTATCAAACGATAGAGCTTTTTCTCCTCTTTCGAATCGTATGTAACTTATTTTTATAACACGTGTGTAAATGAAACGGCACAATAAAAAAGAGAGATACCCTCAAAACAAATCCGCACTTTTCGTGTAATTTAGAAAAACATCACAATGTGTTGATTTCTTTATCTTTTGGATAAGCCTTTAATAAACACGTTTTGAATAAAAAATTTTGTTATCAGCTGATAGGAAATTTTCTCCTCTTTCGAATGGTGTATGTTTTATATCTGTTACACATTCGTAAATAAAAACTAGACAAAGAAGAAAGAGAAAGACTTCTGCAAAAAATTTGCAATACTTATATTAATTAGGCAAAAAATATCTTGTTAGAAAGAAATTAATTTGATTTTCGTGTACTCATTAAAAAGCTCTTGTGAAACAGCGGTTACTTTGACTTTTATGAACTCGTTAAAAACAGTTTGTAAAACGACAACTAATAATGCTTAACTGTCATCTACCGATGTTTTTGACTAATTCGTATAAAAATTGCAAACTTATTGGAAGAGTCTTTCTCTTTCTTCTTCATCTAATTTTTATTTACGAATGTGTGACAAATATAAATCATACACCGTTCGAAAGAGGAGAAAATTTCCTATCAGCTGATAACAAAATTTTCTTTTTACAACGTATTTATGGAAGAGATATGAGAGTCGACATTTTGTATCGTTCTTTTATAAAAAAAGTGCGGATTTATTTTGTGGGTGTCTCTCGTTTTTATTGTGCCGTTTCATTTACACACGTGTTATAAAAATAAGTTATATACGATTCGAAAGAGGAGAAAAAGCTCTATCGTTTGATAAAAAAAATTTTCTTTTAGCACCTTTCTATCAAAGTAAAATAGGGGTCAACATTTTGTACCATTACTTTTGCATCGCATGTTAGTATGCGGGTGTGAGTGTGGCTAGACATAAAAGATGACTCCCAGATCCATACCCACACCTACACACTCTATGCACATCCATGTCTGTATTTACACATCCGCAAGGAATCGTCCTCCGACGAACTGTCCAGTTATCTTAACATATATGGAGTACTAATGTGATAGACTTACCAGGAAACTCTTCCAACTAATAAATGATTTTTGAATCGAGACTTCATGCATTATATAAACCAAAATGAGCTATGAATACTCTGAAAAAATGTTTGTGCCCTGCGTTTAATGCTACGAAAATTCTGCACTTTTACGTTATTGTTTACATGAATAATGTGGTACCCGTCCACTGGGTGATGCAAATGAATTACAAAGTAATTCAAAATTTTTATATTATATATACATAGTATTTATAGAAATATATGTATATAATTATAATAAGTTTATTAATATCTATCAGGATCTACCAGGGTCTATTAGGGTTTACAGGAGCTTACCGGGGTTTATCAAGGTTTACAGAGGTCTACCAGGGCCTACAGGAGTCTACCGGAGTCTCGATGTTGATGCCGCGAAACGACCTACATCACGTCTCTTTCAATGTGGGTACCACGAAACTCTAGTAGACCCTAGCAGACCCTGGTAGATCTTGGGTGTGCGGGTGGATGTGGGTGTGGGTATGCGGGTGGGTGGGGGTGTGGTGTGTGGGGCGTGGGTGAGTGTGGGGTGTGGGTGGTGTGGGTGTGGGTAATGTGGGTGTGGGTGGTGTGGGTGTGGGCGGTGTGGGTGTGGATGGTGTGGGTGTGGGTGTGAGTACAGGTAACAACCAGACCCACACTCACAACACATCCACACCCACAACAGACCCACACCCACACCCACACCCACACACCCACACCCACCCACACCCACCCACCCACACCCACCCACACCCACCCACACCCACACTCCACACCCTATTTTAACGTATCCAAACACTTAACATTTCAAGAAACAGGGTTTTGTTTGCAAATCAATCTCAAGTACTTAAAATATTCGGTATATTTTGATAATATTAAATAGATTTATCTTCTAATAAATGGCTCGACAAAGTAAATCTTTTTCTTCGCAGGTACCATCTCAGTATACGAAGCAAAAGCATAGAAAGCATTACTCCTCTTCGCGCGCGACTCCATCTCGAACACTTAAAGTTTCTGTGGATCATCATTCTTTGTATACGATACCATCAACATTGAATCAAACGGAGCCACCGTTGAAGGACTTCGACAAGTTAGTAACAGTAATAGGATCAATTTCTATCTATCGATTGATAAAGCATGCTCAACTGTTTCTCAACTATTATTTTTAAACTGCACAAACTGCTATTTATTTTAGGACTCGACGAAGCACCGTCAAGATTGACACGAAAACATATAGAGTGTCTGTTTTCATGGTACCAATCGTTAGTGCTTTTGTCTTTGCAATCATGGTACTTATTGGATATGGACTTTTTGCTGTTTTCGCAAAACAAACAGGCACTACAAGCACTGGTATAGTAAGACTGATTTTAAACCTGGAAAATGCTGACACCAGACACTAAAAGATGCTTGCCGATATTTATTTCTTTTTTCTCTCGTACACGCGTAGTGATCAGTGCAGAAACTAATGAAGTTTTCAATACAATTATGCGAATACAAATGCTGTTGAATTTGGAAGGAATCTTATAGTCATATGTAGGATTTTTGTTACATGTCAATTCACTAGTGAAAAACGTGGTCCACGTTTTAGTTGCCTCTTAAGGCCCCCTCAAAAAAAGTCAGTTTTCGTCGGAATGGTCAAAATTGAGATAAATATATGGACAGATAGCCCGTCATTTGCTCTTTCATCAACGATAAAAACTTTTCTTCGACACCTCATTTTTCTCCAAAAAATTTCAAGATTCCTGACAACCCCTTTTCGAAAAACCAGCGGTTTTTGGAAAAAACAAAAAATCTTTCTCGTTTGTTCTCATTTTTCACTTTCTCAAACGCGCATCCAAGACTTCTCTGTCTAGGTCCATCCAATATATTTAAATTTTTTTTGCTTGAAAGAGCATGTAAAGATGTAGGGCATGACGATGCCAGTTTTTTCAATTAGGCCTTTTTTTTGTTATATATATATAGGCATTTATATAAATTGACGGCAATTTTTCGAGAGTTTTTTCAGTCATCGAACTTTCAATTCCTTTTTTGCGCTTGAAAAGTGAGTATTTAAAAAATCGGACCTCATCAAGCCCTGCATCTTGAGATGATCTTTAAAACAAAAAAAGTTTAAATATATTAGACGGATCTAGACCGAGAAATTTGGGATGTCAAATCACCTATTTTTCATCCTTGTTTGATCAATATCTCCCTTAAAACTCATGCTTTCGGGCTGAGAATTTTATTATAGCTTTCTCACTTCAGCTCCAACATATCCTCCAATTTTCAGGCCATTTAGATATTCCTAGGCTGAGATCGATTTTTGAGCGGAGGGGGCCTTAACTAGAAATACTCTATTATTCACTGTAAACTTTGTAGAAATAGCTTTACTCAGATACTTGCTCGCTTTGTGCATATCATGTAAAGAATGCAACGTACTAACTTTTTTATCAGAGTTTCTTCGACGACTAAGGGTAGTGGCTTAGCATTAATATTAAGAAAACGGTAGTACTTTTGTATTAGAGTTAAAAAGTTAACTTAATGCTTTGGGATTAGTATTAGAAAAGCATTAACCTAATGATGATGCTTAAAGTTCTCAAGAACAGAACACAATTGTTCTGTTTTGGAAAAGATATTCTTATAAGCGAACAATTTCGTTCTATCCTTGGGAACCCTAAGCATTACCATTAAGTTAATACTTTTTTAATGCTAATGGCGAAGTATTAAATTAATTTTTTAATTCTAACACTAAAGTATTAATTAATTCAATGCTAATGCTAACCAAGCAGCCCTTATCGGCAATAGTTCTAATAAATCGAGACCCAATTTCCGATAATTCAAATTTAGAAAATCATGCAACAGATTTTGTAGCTTGATGTTCTTCTTTTCATATCGATCGTTAAACTAGTGA